GGTGCCTTACCTAATTGCACCCCGGATAAAGCTTCCCATGTCTCACACTCGGTTATCGGCCCTCCCAAAATGAATCGATCATGCTCTGTCAACTCACAATGCACAAACCTTCCAATGGACTGTAATGCTATTTCGCTTATTCCCACACTTTGCGTTTTCAACTTAACCCAAGCATCAACATACCCACTCATACCCTCAGTCATCGTCAACACCTGATCCACTTTATACCTTTGCATACCTACCTGAACATTCAACCCCATTAACTCCATTGCCTTGCGACGTCTGTGTTGACTCCGAAACACACACGCCGACGGCCGATCTCCCCACAAAACCTCCTCAATCCCGTCCTTAAGCCTTTCCCCATCAAACCTCTCATTTTGTAAATTTCGTATATGTTCCTTCAAACTTTCAATTTCAATAACAGGATAATTAGCATTAATTTGTGCATAGCATTCGCGCAACTGCCCCTCTAAATATTTTTGAAAACCGTATTGTAACTGATTATATCTCGTCCCTCGATTAATATAATATTCCTTAATATGTTTTTTGGCTATCGTTTCCCACCAATTAACCATGGCAACATCCCCTGGTGCTTCAACCACTAAACGATCCCACATATGTCCAAAAGACAAAAGACTATCCTCTTCCTTCAGTAACCTTACATTTAATTTTCAAAATGATGGGCCCCTCCGAGGCACACCCACAATATCTACATCTATTACAACACCTCTATGATCCGAAAAAACCACATCTAACACATTCACCCTCCGCACAGTAACCGCACAAGGCACGTACATTCGGTCCAACCTCGCCGCATAACCTCGTTTAATGAAGGTATGCTCTACCATCCCTCCCTCCCCGCACACATCCTTTAACCCCACCCCGGTCAATAAATCCCCCAATATACCCAAACAACACCCCGCACCTCTAGGCTCCACATCTTTACGACGTATCACGCAGTTCCAATCTCCGCCTATTATTGCAACATTGGGTAAACCACGTAAAAAATAGACCAGTACGTCCTGAACAAATTTAGTTTTAATACTCACATCACCCTCAGCCGGGCCATATACACATACTAAACTAATGGGAACCCTACCCCAGGTTCCATCCACTCTAATTACCCTCCCCTCTTCCCCTTCACTACACCTTACTATAAACGGGCTAGTTTCCTTTACCAAAATGGCAGCCCCACCTTTCAAACGTGTCGCATGTTCCATGTATACATTATAACCACTCATATCCAACTCATAACCAGGCCTAAAATTATGTTCCTGTAAGAATACCACATCCACACCAAGTTGCACCAAATACTCATTAAACCACTTAAGCTTCTCAGCTCTCAACCCGTTAATATTTATAGTAAAACACTTGAATTCAACAAAAGGGTTTTCCTTTTGTCCCTGGCACTGACTTTACCCCAGTTCGTTTCGCAACACCTCTGTCTCTCCCCCCTTTGTTGGGAATTACTTTTGCAATCCCTTGATCCTTGGGTTCACCTTTCTCTCTCTGCTGTACCTCCACCCAAGACTTTTTCCCAGGGCGTTGGGCAGGAGTGAGCACATCATCAGAATCCGATGATGCTGCAGTCCTCTTTCGTGTCTCGCCCTCCACCTGCATTTGGACATCTGAAGCACCGTCCTGATACACCTTCAATCCTTTAGACTCTCTCGTCGACAAAACGTCATCTCCTGCCATACCATCATTCACAGCCGTCCCCAGAACTAAGCCTGGGTCTCCCACATGATCTAGGACAGATTCCTCTAACAACACATCCAACGCCTTTACCAAAGACGCCGCCACTTCTTCACCCATATTAGGTATTCTCTCCTCTAAAACCTGATGTATGTCCAAAGACTGAGATTCTCCTTGTAGCGTTACAACTGGCGACTCGAGCTCCTTTTCTTTGTCCACCTCCTCGCTCCATGACAATCGTTGTTGGGGCGGCGTAGCAAGAGGCTGTTCTTGCTCGTCTCCTACCTCGCCCACTGGCTGCCATTGCCGTTGTGCCGGGTACCCACTTCGTTTCCCACACTGCTCCACGATGTGGTCATATGACCCACATAGCCGACACGTACGTCGTTGCCCCGCATATGTTACATAGACTTGAGTCCGTAATTCCTTCAACACAACATATGAAGGAATAGGATGTTGTAGAGTCATTTTAACAGTATATGTACCTTCCAGCATACCTGCATACGGTCCAGTTGCCAATCTCCCTGCCGTGGCTACGTGAACCGTTCCATAATTACGCAGTTCACTACTAATATCAAAATCAGTCACCTCAAAAGGCACATTCCTGATTTTCACCCAAGTGTATTGTCGAGATACATCATGGAGTCGCACCGACACAGCTGTATTAACCGGTATGGTGGTCTCCTGATACTTGTCGACCACTGCCTCGTAGACTAGTGCAGACGTCATTTTAACGAAGATTCTCGTCGTTCCATTGAGTGCAACACCACATATCTCCTCATTTGCTATACTATAAGTATCGCGAATGATCGCTGGTAGCAATAAATCCATGTTGGATCCTGTGACAGCCCCATGGATCATCTCAATGCAGACAGTATTGATTCATCTTCTGCTATTCAGCGCCATGTTGGAGAAAATAAAGTTTCCACCAACCAGCACTATGGGCAGCTCAGTCAGGTAAACTGCGCAAAAGCCAACTCAATCAGGAGCGTCTGCGGAGCAGGTCCGCACGGCCCGGGAGTGATGCGAATAATGCTAACACATCTATACAGATACCAATGATTGGTATACAAAAATAAAAAAGGCAAAACTTTTAACGTTCTGCACATACAAAATTTTTACATTTTTATTAATGTCATCATTACATTGGAAACATACATACAACATGCACAAACACAAGACATTTACACACAATTAAACCGGGCTGACCAGCCTGTTAGATTACCCACTGAACGAACACAAATTATCTCAAATCCTTTAACTCTAACGCTCTATATGCAGACGGGAAATCTTTCTCCCATCTCCCCTCATATACCAACTGATTTCGACACTTAGTTCTAAGAATTGTTCCCGTTAAAACCCGGATTCTACCATTACCTTCAACATGCCTCATAGCCCATGACACATAAATATAATCGGCTATGACATACGACACTGCACGTTGTACACAGATGTCAACCCCACCCACATCAAAACTCAACGCCCTAAGTACCGACAAACCTCCCATCCCTACCATTCGTAAAACCCTGCTTAACCATGCACGTACTATACCTAAAGCTTCACAGAAATACACAACATGAAACGCTGATTCGTCCTCCCCGCACGCTGAACAACTCCTGTCCTCCCCTACACGCCGATTAGACAACACCACCTTGGACGGCAGAATCCCATGCAAAAATTTAAAAACCACTCCGCGTACTCGAGGAAGGAGACGTAACTGATGAACTCGCTTCCATATATCACACCACGCTTACAAGGGGAACATTCCCTGAACTCTCACCTCAACTTTCACCATACCCACAGGGTATGGTGAAAGTTTGAGTCTATCCCTTCCATCATGTCATTCACATATACCAGAAACAGCACCGGTCCTAGGACCGACCCCTGTGGAACCCCGCTCGTCACAGGCGCCCAGTCTCATACCTCGTCATGTACCATGACTCGCTGTTGCCTTCCTGTCAGTTATTCTCTGATCCATTGTAGTACCTTTCCTGTTATACTTGCCTAGTCCTCCATCTTTTGCACTAATCTCTTGTGTAGAATTGTGTCAAAAGCCTTCCAATTACGTCTTCTTATAGTCCAAGAAAATGCAATCTACCCACCCCTTTCTTTCTTGCCTTACTGCCATCACCTTGTCATAGAACTCCAGTAGGTTTGTGACACAGGATTTCCTTTCCCTGAAACCGTGCTGGTTGTCGTGAATAAGCTTATTCCTTTCTAGGTGCTCCACCATTCTTTTGATAATCTTCATTACTCTGCATACTATACATGTCAGTGGCGTTGTTCTGTAATTTAGTGCTGCGTGTCTGTCTCCTTTCTTAAAAATTGGGGCTACATTTGCTGTCTTCCACGCTTTAGGTAGTTGTCCTGTTGCGATAGATGTGTTGAAGATTGTTGTTAATGGCGTTGTTAGTGTGTGTGTGTGTGTATAAAAGAACGAAAGCTACTCGTTGATGGGAAAGTATTCGTGGTTTCTCTGTAAGAAACAGAAAGTGTAATAAGAGAAAGTATAGGAAGTAAAATGGAATGAATGTTTTGATCATACCAGATGAAAATGTATTGCAGAATCATATGAATAACAGGAACTGCTTAGTTGTAGTGTGATCAGCTTCAAACTTCTCACCTGACAGCGGGTAGAGGGAGGTGGGAATCTGTCAAAGGAGAGGAACAACTGTCGTGGTAAGGGGGAATCAAGAACTGTCATTTAGCAAGAATAAATTGCTTTTTCTTTTTGGAAGATAAGTGTGTTACATATTCTTGAATGAGTGATGGCAGATAATTGACATCTTTCTTTGTTACAAGGTGAGCGGAGAGGGATGGGTAATGTGAGGGGTCTTGGGGGAGATATTTTAGAGGGAAATGTTAGCGAAGAAGAGGATGGAGTAATGGGATATCTTACTGAGGAAGTCATTGTTGATGGAGCTTGTCTGGATAAGATACTATTACTTTTTTTAACCTACCGGGCGTCTCCCAACCTTCGTGTTTCTTTTTAGGTTACCCAGGAGAAGGGGTTACTAGCCCCTTGCTCCCGGCATTTTAGTCGCCTCTTAAGACACGCATGGCTCACGGAGCTAGGATTCTTTTCCATTTTTCCATGGGTGATACTAGTTAGGGGCAAAATTAGAATTCAGGCAGGAAAAAGTGTCATCGTTTTGGTCAGAAATCTGGACTATTAAGCCTTTCAACGTGGACCTTTCGATATACAGAAGTTCTGAGCAGAGCCCCATAATCATCTAATCACTTAAGTATGCATGTAAATGTATACACAACGTACATATCTAATGTCTGCTATTTCTTTCATCTAGGTTACCCTCACCACTGGGTTTTCAAGTTGACAGCCAAGCTCTTACTAGTGATCAAGGTTAGTGTTAAACTTTATCTGACAGTCATGCTCCCTATATGTAGAATTTAAACATCATTGTTTCACACATTATATATGCACATCATGTTTCACTCATTACATTATACAAAGTCAGTTATACCTTACACTTTCAGATTTGAATTAAAAAAAGTAATTCACACATTGAATATAACAGTCCTACTTGCCACACTGGTAATATACCATATTCTTCAGTAAAACATTTTTCCGGGTCAAGATCAAAATAAATATGATACCGAGAGTGTGAGCATAACCAAAAGTTGGACTAAAAGTACTGAAAGCCAGCAGAACTAATCATGTTTTCTATTATAAGTAACTATGTGTTCCAGTGTCGTGTATACTAGAGATGTATCGAATGTGAAAATTTAGATATCCGCGGATGCAGATGTGTATGAAGATGCCCAACTTACTTATTTCGCTGATGTGGATGTAAGGAATTGTGCGGATGCTGATGCGGATGTAAGAAATTGTGCGGATGTTCCGTGGATTCGGATGCAGATGCATATGCGGATGTCTGTTTACAGTAAAACACAGATGCGGATGCGAATATAATAAATTGTGCGGACGTTCCGCGGATGTGGAGACAGATGCAGATTTCCGAGACATCACTAGTGTATACTCAAGGCTGCAAGGCGGGTACTAATATCCAACCCCTCAGTTTGTATCACATCAAGAACGTTTTAGTGGTCAAAGTTTTCAGGCAACATTCCAATGCCAAGCGTTCATTATTGTTCCCCCTCCTCGCCAGGGGACTCACAACCAGGTAGGATGAACATTGGTGCTCGCAATGCATTTTCCAGTCAAATAGCAGGGTGAACATTGGTGCACGCAATGCACTTTCCAGTCAAATAGCAGGGTGAACATTGGTGCACGAAATGCATTTTCCTGTCAAACGGCAAAACTGAATATAAATCTTTCTCACAGCCGGCACGACCGAGCGATCGCTAAAGAGTGATAGTCCAGCACCTGCTTCAGACTGTGAACCCACTTTGGACTTCGAGGTCACACGACGGCTGCTGGAGACCAACCTGAGGGACACTTATTTTTTCTTCTCAAACCATCTGAAACAACTTTACTCCAGCAAAACGAAAATGAACCAAGAGGACTTTAATAACTTGCAGAAGGAAGGTGCCGAGCGCGTAAGGTAATTGATTTAGGTAACAATTACACTGATATTAGCAATATGGTAAAATATATATATATGTTAATAAGATTTAAAATCTAAGCTAAAATAGTTAATTACTTTCTGACTAGACAAAATACAGAATGATTTACAGCACAATCAGTTCTGTTATTTTAAAGCTAAGTTTCTTAAAGCAGTACAAGCAAGTTCGGTTTTTCATTATCTAATTCAGTTTTAATGTTTTTTTTTAATGATATTAGCGCCTTCGCAGCTGATTATGTGCTCAGAAACACTGATATGTTGAAATGGTACAAAACTCTCACTACCATACCTAAGAAAGTACTTTAATTTTGTTATCTGAGTCCCAAGATACTGAACAGTTTCCTCTAAGTGCACTAAAATACAGCGTTTTAATGGACACAGAATACCAAGTCCTCTATAATATGTGAAATTTAGTGTACAGTGGGGAAACTTCCCGGATCTACACACTGGCCGATACACCAACCTCAAATCTTCAAGAAATCGTCTCTCCTGACATATTGTTCCGCTGCCTGATCACTGACTCAACATACATCATCAGGGTTCTTCAGTACGACCTATGGAGGTTGAGTCAGATGGGAGGCAAAGAAGGAAGCTGGAGGAAGCGAGAGGCCGAAGACCTGAGTGAGGAAGTTCAGCAGCGTTTACACCGCCTGCAACACCCACACAACTGTGCCACTGCAAAGAAACTTTTCTGTAATCTCGAAGTGGTAAGGCACTTATGTGTTTGATATTCTATTTAGTTTTCCTCTAAGGATGAAAGTAATTTGAGTTACTGGTTATGAAGCCTAAAGTTAGAGGTCCCAGTCATCTGTCCATTGTTGATACTCGGAAGACATGACACTCAGTCTTCACAATTCCCGAATCTTCTTGTCTCGACAGAAACTAAACAAAGCATTACCCCCGTGGCTTGTTCCACATAACAGGGCATGTAGGTGAGTACAAACAGGAAGCACGCCTGTCTGGCGCTCTGTAGACGGAGGATCAATCCTTCACTACGTCTTGTGCTGAATGATGAATGACCCACATGGCTTTAGCGCTTAACATGAATTATTATTATTTTATGTTCCACTTAATCTCTCGCCAGGGTTTATGTGTATTTTAAAATTGTGCCAACTGATTGGCTAGCTGATTGGTAACCTTGCAAAGATACCATGGTAACCTTGCAAGTTGTATTGTAAAACAGAGGATTGCATAGATCCTAAACAACTGGTGTTTAGGTGTCAAAAGACGCAAGGAATTCTATAAAGGCCTATTGACAAATGCCAGGCAGTTCTTTCTCCATTTCAACCCTTCTCACTGATACGAACACGTAAATATATTGTAGAACCGCTCAGTTCTTTTCTAGTACATAATAATAATAATAATAATAATAATAATAATAATAATAATAATAATAATAATAATAATAATAATAATAATAATAATAATAATAAACAACTTTAAGGAGTTTATTTTCATCTGTGCAGTTTAGTAGGTTTGAGCTATAGCTCCTAGGACTCGTGATGGAGTCAACCTGCATCTCCTCTGCCTCTTGAGGGTTTCGAAGAATGATATATATGGGGGTCTAAACAGCGTGTATTAATACCAGTAACTGTAGTTCCACAGTTTCCGTTCCTTACATTTTCCTTTAACGTTTCACAGGGATGTGGTTTTGGCTGCCAGTTCCACCGCCTCATCCACTGCTTCATGGCAGCCTATGGAAAAAACAGAACACTTATTGTCAACTCTGCTGGCTGGCGTTACTCTCCCAATGGCTGGGAAACTGTCTTCCAGCCTTTCAGTGAAACATGTACCAACTTTTCAATGAAAAATATAACTAATTGGCCCGGTAAGATGTAGTAATAAATTGTTTTGAATTCTCTCACATCTTGTAATAGCATTGACGGTCTTATTTGACAACAAAACAGAGATTCATATAGAATCCTTGTTACTTCTTGACAGGCACAAGCGACTCACAAACGGTGCGATTTCCCCCATTCTACACCATAATTCCAATGCCAGAAAACATGCCATTAGCCATCCCAAAAGACATCTCGAAACGACTGATTCGTTTGCATGGTCACCCGGGCGTCTGGTGGGTGGGTCAGTTTATCAAATATCTTTTCAGATTTCAGCCGAACATGAAAGAGATGATCAAAAAAACAGAAAAATCCATTCAATTTCAACATCCCATTGTGGGGTAAGTTTCCCAGACAAATTCTTATCTGTAGAAATAGTTTACAGTAACCTTAACATCAAATCGTTTTAATAACAATATTGTGTGTTTTTAAATGGGAGAGACTGATGGATAAATTATGTAGATCCAAAAGTGTGATCGTGATGTTAGTGTAACGTTGGTTCTCTTAGCCCATCAAAGTTAAGATTTAGCATTTGCAGGTTCTTGTTGTTATCCACAGTGTACACGTGAGACGAACTGATAAGCGCAGCGAGGCAAAGTACCATTATGTGAAGGAATACATGGAACAGGTGGAGGAGTACTTCGCAGGTCTCCAGATCTTCAACCCAAATGTTACGCGAAGGATCTACCTGTCTACCGACGAGCCCAAAGTCTTTGAAGAAGTCAAGAAAAAGTAACATATTATCGTTTTATTATATTTTCAAGGGTAGTAGTGAGGAATAAGACACACGCAGCTTTTTTATTTTTTAATAAAAGATGATATTTTAACTTTAATTAAGTGTACCTTTCGCTATTATGTAAATCTATTACATAGGTAATTTCTTAGGTTCTGACTGAATTTAAGTATAATGAGGCGGAGTAGTTTGCGTATCTGGGATAATTATTGGGTCCAATAACTGTATTAACAGTTTTCCATGATTCATATCTTGTTATCCGTTTCCTAAAAATTATGTTCATATAGGTGTATATATATATATATATATATATATATATATATATAATATATATATATAAATATATATATATATATATATATATACATATGTCGTGCCGAATAGGCAGAACTTGCGATCTTGGCTTAAATAGCAACGTTCATCATGCCATATAGGACAAGCGAAAATTTGTGTATGCAATAATTTCGCCAAAATCATTCTGAACCTAACGAAAAAAATATATTTCACTGTGTTTGTTTAGTATTAAATTATTGTAAACAAATCTAAAATATATTTAGTTGGGTTAAGCTAAAATAAATTGTTCTTGTTATAATAAGGTTAGGTAAGTTTTCTAAGATTCTTTTGGAGCAAAATTAAAAATTTTTACATTAACATTAATGAAAAAAAATATATCTTTAAACGTATAAGAGAAATTTTTAGAAAGGACTTAATTTTAAATGAGTTCTTGCTAATTGACCAGTTTTACATATTCGGCACGACATATATACATATATATATATATATATTTTTTTTTTATTTTTTATTATCACACTGGCCGATTCCCACCAAGGCAGGGTGGCCCGAAAAAGAAAAACTTTCACCATCATTCACTCCATCACTGTCTTGCCAGAAGGGTGCTTTACACTACAGTTTTTAAACTGCAACATTAACACCCCTCCTTCAGAGTGCAGGCACTGTACTTCCCATCTCCAGGACTCAAGTCCGGCCTGCCGGTTTCCCTGAACCCCTTCATAAATGTTACTTTGCTCACACTCCAACAGCACGTCATGTATTAAAAACCATTTGTCTCCATTCACTCCTATCAAACACGCTCACGCATGCCTGCTGGAAGTCCAAGCCCCTCGCACACAAAACCTCCTTTACCCCCTCTCTCCAACCTTTCCTAGGCCGACCCCTACCCCGCCTTCCTTCCACTACAGACTGATACACTCTTGAAGTCATTCTGTTTCGCTCCATTCTCTCTACATGTCCGAACCACCTCAACAACCCTTCCTCAGCCCTCTGGACAACAGTTTTGGTAATCCCGCACCTCCTCCTAACTTCCAAACTACGAATTCTCTGCATTATATTCACACCACACATTGCCCTCAGACATGACATCTCCACTGCCTCCAGCCTTCTCCTCGCTGCAACATTCATCACCCATGCTTCACACCCATATAAAAGCGTTGGTAAAGCTATACTCTCATACATTCCCCTCTTTGCCTCCAAGGACAAAGTTCTTTGTCTCCACAGACTCCTAAGTGCACCACTCACTCTTTTCCCCTCATCAATTCTATGATTCACCTCATATTTCATAGACCCGTCCGCTGACACGTCCACTCCCAAATATCTGAATACATTCACCTCCTCCATACTCTCTCCCTCCAATCTGACATTCAATCTTTCATCACCTAATCTTTTTGTTATCCTCATAACCTTACTCTTTCCTGTATTCACCTTTAATTTTCTTCTTTTGCACACCCTACCAAATTCATCCACCAATCTCTGCAACTTCTCTTCAGAATCTCCCAAGAGCACAGTGTCATCAGCAAAGAGCAGCTGTGACAACTCCCACTTTGTGTGTGATTCTTTATCTTTTAACTCCACGCCTCTTGCCAAGACCCTCGCATTTACTTCTCTTACAACCCCATCTATAAATATATTAAACAACCACGGTGACATCACACATCCTTGTCTAAGGCCTACTTTTACTGGGAAATAATTTCCCTCTTTCCTACATACTCTAACTTGAGCCTCACTATCCTCGTAAAAACTCTTCACTGCTTTCAGTAACCTACCTCCTACACCATACACCTGCAACATCTGCCACATTGGCCCCCTATCCACCCTGTCATATGCCTTTTCCAAATCCATAAATGCCACAAAGACCTCTTTAGCCTTATCTAAATACTGTTCACTTATATGTTTCACTGTAAACACCTGGTCCACACACCCCCTACCTTTCCTAAAGCCTCTTTGTTCATCTGCTATCCTATTCTCCGTCTTACTCTTAATTCTTTCAATAATAACTCTACCATACACTTTACCAGGTATACTCAGCAGACTTATCCCCCTATAATTTTTGCACTCTCTTTTATCCCCTTTGCCTTTATACAAAGGAACTATGCATGCTCTCTGCCAATCCCTAGGTACCTTACCCTCTTCCATACATTTATTAAATAATTGCACCAACCACTCCAAACTATATCCCCACCTGCTTTTAAACATTTCTATCTTTATCCCATCAATCCCGGCTGCCTTACCCCCTTTCATTTTACCTACTGCCTCAAGAACTTCCCCCCACACTCACAACTGGCTCTTCCTCACTCCTACAAGATGTTATTCCTCCTTGTCCTATACACGAAATCACAGCTTCCCTATCTTCATCAACATTTAACAATTCCTCAAAATATTCCCTCCATCTTCCCAATACCTCTAACTCTCCATTTAATAACTCGCCTCTCCTATTTTTAACTGACAAATCCATTTGTTCTCTAGGCTTTCTTAACTTGTTAATCTCACTCCAAAACTTTTTCTTATTTTCAACAAAATTTGCTGATAACATCTCACCCACTCTCTCATTTGCTCTCTTTTTACATTGCTTCACCACTCTCTTAACCTCTCTCTTTTCTCCATATACTCTTCCCTCCTTGCATCACTTCTACTTTGTAAAAACTTCTCATATGCTAACTTTTTCTCCCTTACTACTCTCTTTACATCATCATTCCACCAATCGCTCCTCTTCCCTCCCGCACCCACTTTCCTGTAACCACAAACTTCTGCTGAACACTCTAACACTACATTTTTAAACCTACCCCATACCTCTTCGACCCCATTGCCTATGCTCTCATTAACCCATCTATCCTCCAATAGCTGTTTATATCTTACCCTAACTGCCTCCTCTTTTAGTTTATAAACCTTCACCTCTCTCTTCCCTGATGCTTCTATTCTCCTTGTATCCCATCTACCTTTTACTCTCAGTGTAGCTACAACTAGAAAGTGATCTGATATATCTGTGGCCCCTCTATAAACATCTACATCCTGAAGTCTACTCAACAGTCTTTTATCTACCAATACATAATCCAACAAACTACTGTCATTTCGCCCTACATCATATCTTGTATACTTATTTATCCTCTTTTTCTTAAAATATGTATTACCTATAACTAAACCCCTTTCTATACAAAGTTCAATCAAAGGGCTCCCATTATCATTTACACCTGGCACCCCAAACTTACCTACCACACCCTCTCTAAAAGTTTCTCCTACTTTAGCATTCATGTCCCCTACCACAATTACTCTCTCACTTGGTTCAAAGGCTCCTATACATTCACTTAACATCTCCCAAAATCTCTCTCTCTCCTCTGCATTCCTCTCTTCTCCAGGTGCATACACGCTTATTATAACCCACTTCTCGCATCCAACCTTTACTTTAATCCACATAATTCTTGAATTTACACATTCATATTCTCTTTTCTCCTTCCATAACTGATCATTCAACATTACTGCTACCCCTTCCTTTGCTCTAACTCTCTCAGATACTCCAGATTTAATCCCATTTATTTCCCCCCACTGAAACTCCCCTACCCCCTTCAGCTTTGTTTCGCTTAGGGCCAAGACATCCAACTTCTTTTCATTCATAACATCAGCAATCATCTGTTTCTTGTCATCCGCACTACATCCACGCACATTTAAGCATCCCAGTTTTATAAAGTTTTTCTTCTTCTCTTTTTTAGTAAATGTCTACAGGAGAAGGGGTTACTAGCCCATTGCTCCCGGTATTTTAGTCGCCTCATACTACACGCATGGCTTACGGAGGAAAGATTCTTTTCCACTTCCCCATGGACAATAGAAGAAATAAAGAAGAACAAGAGCTGTTTAGAAATATATATATATATATATATATATATATATATATATATATATATATATATATATATATATATATATATATATGTCTTGGCAAGAGGCGTGGAGTTAAAAGATAAAGAATCACACATAAAGTGGGAGTTGTCACAGTTGCTCTTTGCTGATGACACTGTGCTCTTGGGAGATTCTGAAGAGAAGTTGCAGAGATTGGTGGATGAATTTGGTAGGGTGTGCAAAAGAAGAAAATTAAAAGTGAATACAGGAAAGAGTAAGGTTATGAGGATAACAAAAAGATTAGGTGATGAAAGATTGGATATCAGATTGGAAGGAGAGAGTATGGAGGAGGTGAATGTATTCAGATATTTGGGAGTGGACGTGTCAGTGGACGGGTCTATGAAAGATGAGGTGAATCATAGAATATGATGAGGGGAAAAGGGTGAGTGGTGCACTTAGGAGTCTGTGGAGACAAAGAACTTTGTCCTTGGAGGCAAAGAGGGGAAAGTATGAGAGTATAGTTTTACCAACACTCTTATATGGGTGTGAAGCATGGGTGATGAATGTTGCAGCGAGGAGAAGGCTGGAGGCAGTGGAGATGTCATGTCTGAGAGCAATGTGTGGTGTGAATATAATGCAGAGAATTCGTAGTTTGGAAGTTAGGAGGAGGTGCGGGATTACCAAAACTGTTGTCCAGAGGGCTGAGGAAGGGTTGTTGAGGTGGTTCGGACATGTAGAGAGAATGGAGCGAAACAGAGTGACTTCAAGAGTGTATCAGTCTGTAGTGGAAGGAAGGCGGGGCAGGGGTCGGCCTAGGAAAGGTTGGAGGGAGGGGGTAAAGGAGGTTTTGTGTGCGAGGGGCTTGGACTTCCAGCAGGCATGCGTGAGCGTGTTTGATAGGAGTGAATGGAGACAAATGATTTTTAATACTTGACGTGCTGTTGGAGTGTGAGCAAAGTAACATTTATGAAGGGGTTCAGGGAAACCGGCAGGCCAGACTTGAGTCCTGGAGATGGGAAGTACAGTGCCTGCACTCTGAAGGAGGGGTGTTAATGTTGCAGTTTAAAAACTGTAGTGTAAAGCACCCTTCTGGCAAGACAGTGATGGAGTGAATGATGGTGAAAGTTTTTCTTTTTCGGGCCACCCTGCCTTGGTGGGAGTCGGCCAGTGTGATAATAAATACATACATAATAATATATATATATATATAATATATATATATATATATATATATATATATATATATAATATATATATAATATATATATATATAAAATATATATATATATATATATATATAATATGTCGTGCTGAATAGGCAGAACTTGCGATCTTGGCTTAAATAGCAACGCTCATCTTGCCATATAGGACAAGTGAAAATTTGTGTATGCAATAATTTCGCCAAAATCATTTTGAACCTAACGAAAAAAATATATTTGATTGTGTTTGTTTAGTACTAAATTATTGTAAACGTATTTAAAATATATTTAGTTGGGTTAGGCTAAATTAAATTGTTCTTTTTATAATAAGGTTAGGTAAGTTTTCTAAGATTCTTTTGGTGCAAAACTAAAAATTTTTACATTAACATTAATGAAAAAAATATATCTTTAAATGTATAAGAGAAAATTTCAGAAAGGACTTAATTCTAAATGAGTTCTTGCTAATTGACCAGTTTTACATATTCGGCACGACATACATACATACTATATATATATATATATATATATATATATATATATAATATATATATATATATATATATATATATATATATATATATATATATATATATATATATATATATATACAATGATTTTACTAAAAAACAGGAATGAGCTTAGAAAAATATATCTGATTCATGTCATATCTGAAACAGTTTCACTAACCAGCTAACCAAATTAGAAATAAACTATCTGATATTATCTCTACACAGGTATCCTCAGTACAAGATTCTATACCAAACTAAGAGTGTGGAGGTGGTTGATCTTGCTAAACGGTTCACTGAGGCTTCGCTCATAGACCTCGTAGCTGATCTCTACTTCCTGTCCCGTACCGACTACATCGTTCTGACCTTTTCATCCAATGTAAGTCCTATTATGATATTCGTGCTACACAAGCTATTTATGAAACTGTTTAGTGAGAAATTATAGATTTTATGATAACTACTCAAGAACATTAGCAATGAATTACGTACAATTACATTTTGATATATATTTTTTATTAAAAACAAGCTATGGCCACTTTGACTGTGTTTCCTGTCTCATTTTCCTGTAAAATGTTAGGGAATATTATTGAATTGATTAATGTAGAGAAATGAAGATTAGTTAGATTCGTGTCGAAATGCGTTTATAAAAAGAAGAAACACTATAAATGCACTATGACTTTTCTTCTTAATAGGGATGTTGCTTAAGAGTAAATTGTTACTGTGGATTAAGGAAGGACTAACAGAAGAGTAATAAATCCCTGTTTTTAGGGAAGAATATTCCAAGGTATAGAATTAGCCGATGAGGCTTTTTAGAGGCATACTTAGACTAATATCATTTAATATTCTAATGAACATTGTAGCTAGATGAGCATATTATATAATGAGATCTACAAATTTGTTATGGGTTGACTGGTATGTCAACAGAAGCCAACGGGTATAAAATGACAAGCACCGTTTCTCTCAGTACATACGTTTCAAGAGAGATACACTAGACTATATATAAACCGCTATATGAGGAATGCTTTCTATAAAGAGTGCAACTGAAGCATGACATGTGGATCCTTGTGCTGCACAGTTTGGCAGGCTGGCGTACGAGATGATGCAAATCTGGAGTCCTGACGCCTCTGGCAAATTCTTCTCTCTCGACACTCCTTACTTCTCTCACTCAGGGCGCCCAAACTTCGCGAGGATGCGTTTTTTTCACCAGGATCGCAGGTTAGAATGAAATGTAATATCTCAAGGCAGAACCGAACCCACATGGAAACACTAAAAGCAAAAGTAATAAGAATGCATATTTCGGCTTCACTCTGAGCCTTCTGCAAATGTACAGTATTAATATTATTTTCTGCTTTATTTCCTCCACGTGGGTTTCTTTATCCAATAGACAAGTATTTATTATAATTTTGAGTTTTATTTAAAGATATTTATATATATATTAAAATTATAGTGTGGTAGGTAGAACTGAGCATCGTACAGTGTCTCAACACTCCAGTGTTCACGTCCCACAATACATCCCATACGTCTCGCTGTATACTCGTGTATATATATATATATATATATATATATATATATATATATATATATATATATATATATATATATATATATATATATATATATATATATATATATATATATATATACGTATATATATACGAGTATTATACAATGAGTGTGCAACACCATGAATATAACAAGCTTTGATGTATGTAAATACGTTGACATACATGTTAGTTTATGTGTGACTGACCTGACTAGGTCAAGGCATTGGCTTAAGCCGGTGGGAGAACTGGACCTGCCTCGCATGGGCGGCTAGTAGGCCTCCTTCCGTGTTCCTTCTTTCTTATGTTGTTATGTATTTGCTATTATAGTTATTAAATTTATTGGCAAATTTAGTTAATTGTTTTAATGTTATTTTTATTTTCACTTTGTACAGAGTAAATTTGACCATACAAGAGGGTGAGAGAGTGATGCTGCCCTACATTGGCCACAACTTCCCCAAGGAACTGAAAGGTCTTTACAAGAGTAGTGAGAAAATCCCTCCTTACAAGATGGAGAACCTAGTCGATGTCGTCAACCTGTCGTCCCCTTGATGGTAGCCAGAAAGACGACAACTGGAGGATGTTAGCACTTACTCTCATCCAGTTGTTCACACAATGACTTGGAGTAATAAAATGTGTCGATTGATTTATTATGTTTTGTGTGTAACGCTAAGTTAGTGTGAATTAAACAAACCATACAACGGGTGGGGTTTGAACCCGCAAGGACTACCTACCTGTAGGGTGTTCCGGGGGTCAACGCCCCCGTGGCCTGGTCCAGGTAGAGGTTTAGCCCTTCGTCTTTTAATCACAAGTCCTTACATTCTCTTCAATAGTGGAAGGAAGAAAATGCACCCATGGAATAAAAACGGTTCTTTCTCTCCTAGCCTCTTCCAGGTTGTGGAGTGGACATTCTTGGCAGCTTAAGACCAGAGGAAATAGGGCAGTGGTTGAGGTCCCTATGACAAACAACTGAAGGGGACCTCTTCAGCTGTTTCTTATAGGGACTTTCCCACAAATAAAAAACATCCTGATCGTTTTTCCAACCACCACCATTATTGCTGTGGTTCCCCGGGTCTTGAGCTGTCAAGAATATCCTCCCCACAACCTGGTATCAGGATCACTGAAGAGGCTACGAGAGAATTAACTCAGTAAGAGCCATTTAAGAAGCGGGAAAAAGGGTAATGAATAGGTAAATATGCACAGAAGGCCCCATTAAGATGAAAAGAGAATTAATGGGGTAAAAGAATAGCACAAGAGGAGAGTATGAAAAAGAGGGTAAAGGGGTTAAAAAAATAGAAGAGTACAAAAGAAATAATTAGCAAAGCACTCTCTAAGGAAACTAATGATAAATATAAATATGAACTGATTCATACACACAGACACACGGGACACACAGACACAAACCCACACACACACACACACACAAAAAACCCCACACACACACACACACACAACACACACACCACAACACACACACACACACACAACAACAATGAAAACCCTGTAGGTAGGCCTGAAGAAGTGACGTCACGACAAGTTGTGTGCCATTAACAAATGAAGTGAAGTTTTATTTTAATGTGAAGTGTATACTACCCATCAGTGAAGAGTGAAGTGGGGAAAGCGGATGTACGGAATATATGGTTATAATCATCACGGGTGAAGGATCTCCAAAATAGGGATTTAAGGCCTACGTACTACTTCGTCATCAGCAGTTTGGAAACTGTCACCGCAAGTTTATTCGCCTGTTGTGGTTGAAATGTTGACGGCCCTGGTGGCCTTGCATACTGTTTGATATGGTCACTCACTCCTGCAAGCTATTACCAGAATTAGAATAGAAATAGCATAGACATAGAGAAATGGGGTTGACGAGTGTGAGAAGGTAGGTGGGACAAGCTTTTAAAGGGGCAACATTGTAAGACCGTGCTAGGGTCAGGTCCCAGGAGGGTTGTGTCAGGTCACAAGAAGATGCGGCCAGAAATTTACACCGCACAAGACACACTCACACACACACACACACACTCACACAACACACACATGCACACACGCACACAGGCAGTGTTACTACCGGTAGTTATTAGCAGTAAGAATACTTAGGAAGCTAGGAAGTCCTCTCTCAATGTGAACAAGGAAAATGATAATAACCAGCAACAATTAACACGTAAATCCGAAAGGGCAATAAGTGGAGAGAGTAGCAAAATTTGGGAAAGATAAATTGAGACTAAATTTGTGCCTACACGAGGGATCTTTCAACCAACCCCCCCCCTAACCCTCCTCCCTCACACACAAGCACACACACACAAGCGTAGACACTCACACACACACCAACACATACACACACATACACACACATACACACACACACATACATACACACATACGTAAACACCACACACACACAAACACAAACACACACACACCCCACACACACACCACACCCCACCCCACACACACACACACACACACACATACACACACACACACATACACACACACCACACACATACACACACACACACACCACACACACACCACACACGCCACACACCACACACACACACACGCACACACACACACACGCACACACACACACACACACGCACATACACACACACACACACACATACACACACCACACACACCACACACCACACATACACACACACACGCAAAAAACCCCACACACATACACACACCACACATACACACACACATACACACACACACATACACACACCACACACCACACACACACACATACACACCACACACACACACCCACACACACCACACGCACACACCACACCCCCACACCACACACACCACACACCACACACACACCCCACCCACACACACACACACACAAAACACACCACACACACACACACACACACACACACACACTACACACACACATACACACACACACACACTACACACACACACCACACACACACACACACACACACACTACACACACACACACACTACACACACACACACACACACTACACACACACACACACTACACACACACACACACACTACACACACACACACACACACCACTACACACACACACACACACACTACACACACACACACACACTACACACACACACACACTACACACACACACACACACACACACACACTACACACACACACACACTACACACACACACACACACTACAACACACAAAACACCCCACACACTTACACAAAACACACACACACTACACACACACACACACTACACACACACACACACAAAACACACACCCACACACACTACACACACCACACACACACACATACACACACACACACACACACACACACACACACACACACACACACACACAACACAAACACACACACACACCCTCCACCACTTGACAAAAAACATTTGACACAAACACGTACCACCCCTTCCCTAACCACCTCACCTTAGCCACCTACCCCCCCCCCAAACCACCTAACCCCTCCCCAAACCGTCTAAACCCTGCCCAAAAACCCTCCCTCCCTCCAAAAAACCATCCTCCCCCCCCCCCAAAAACCATCCTCCCTCTCTCCCCCAAACCATCTAACTCCCCCCCCCAAACTATCTCTACCCCTCCAATAACCCATCCTCCCCCTCCCCCACAACCATCCACCCCCTCCCCTAACCATCTATTCCCCCCCCCCTAACCAGGTTTGAGGACAAGGGGCCCCAAAGGGGACGAATCTGAGAGGGAGGAATGGGGGGTAGAGCTCAAAAAAAGGGAGGAAGACTGAGAAAGGAGACTAGATGAGCTGGGAAAGGAAGATGGAAGAGAGGTTAGCAGCAGAATGCAGAAGGTGGAAGCAACAGGCCACAGAGCAGAAATCAAGATAGAGAGATTAGAAGAGGAGCTGAGACATCTGAAACAGCACAGAAAACAAAGATATTACAGAAGTAGCATCGGCAATGGCTACATCGAACACAGACAACAGGTCCGAAGGAAGCATGGAAACTAAACTGTATGCAGAGTCCTGTCAAACCCACATGGGCCAAAACAAAAAGGGAGCACTCTAGGACAGAAAGAGAGGTTGGAAGACATTGAAGGAACTAGGCATGTGCAAGGACCTTACCAGATACCCGTGGGGGCCAGGAGCAGGTGAGCAGGAAGGATAAACCAAGAAGCATAGGGGGCCCTAACTAGGGAAGGACTGAAGGGAAGGAACACTCCACGGGAATGAACTAAAAACACATCAGAGGATGCAATGGGAGTCACAGTGGGGAGGGGGAAAGGGAGAGATCCGTGTTTGTCTATGGGCTAGACCCAAGCTAAAGGGGAAACTTATGATGAAAGAAAGCAGGAGGAGAAAAAAGCGATTGAAGACATCATGAAGGTGATAGGGGGAGGGGGACATGACCCAGGTGGCAAATTTTCGGAGAATTGGGTGGTTCACAAAGAAAAGGAAATCGGCCCCCTCAAAGTAATTTTCAAGGCAGAATCAACCCGAACCCTGATCCTGCAGGAGAAAGCACGGCTGGGGAGGCAAGCAGGAGTTCGGAGTGTGTACCCGACCGAGACAGAACACAGGACGAAAGGAAGACAATGAAAGAGGGAGTTCAAAAACGAAGGAGGGAAAAGGGAGGAAATGAAAAAAGGAGAGCAGAATACCCAGGATCAAATGGGAAGGACAAGCGCACTCCCCAGAAACACCTGCAGAAGGACTCCCGCCACGACACCCCCAAGGCAACTGAACAAACCAAACCAACCATCACACACCGATCCCTCTGTTTCCACCCCCCGCACCACAGTTACAGTATTAGAACAGAAGTTGAAGGTTTGGTACACAAATGCAGATGGATTAACGAATAAACATGAGGAATGGCAAGAAAGAATCAATGAGAAGTCCCCAGACATCATAAACAGTTACAGAAAAAAAAACTCATGGAGACAATAACAGATGCAATCTTCCCACCAGGATACCCGATCATGAGGAAAGATAGAAGGGGCAGGGGGGGAGGTGGGGTTTCCTCTGCTCGTAAAAAACAGATGGAAATTCGAGAAAATGGAAGGAATAGATTTAGACAGGAGAAAGAGACTACATAGCAGGTACACTTCAGTCTGGGGAACACAAAGTGGTCATTGCAGTGATTTTATAATCCACCCAGAACTGCAGGAGGCCAAGAGAGGAATATGAAGAGAGCAACAGAGCAATGGTGGACACACTTGCTGAGGTGGCAAGAAGAGCTTCACTCCAGCAGAGCAAAGTTGCTGGTTATGGGGGATTTTAACCACAAGGAGATTGACTGGAAAACCTGGAGCCACCCTGGGGGTCCCGAAACATGGAGAGCCAGGATGTTGGGGCGTGGTGCTGGAAAAACTCATGCACCAACATGTTTAAGGACACTCCAGAGTGAAGGGGAGGATGAACCAGCAAGATTTGGGCCTTGTGTTCATCCCGGGCAGCTCAGACATTGAGGACATCAAGTATGAGAGTCCCCAGGAGCTAGCGACCCCCGTGGTTTTGTGCTTTGAATACATAGTAGAGCTGCAAGTGGAGAGAATAACAGGAGTAGAATGGGAAAAGCCTG